TGTGAAGTTTTTTTTTAATAATATGTTTTGATTTATATTTAAAATGTTTTTATTTGCATTTCAATTTATGTGGAAAAACAGTCATTTTGGGAAGTGCAGCGAACGAGCCTCGGCGGTTGGTGTTCAGGTGTGACATTTGCAAAACAAACAATCAATTAAATTTACATCCAGTACACACACACACACACACAAATCCTACTCTCCTTAAGCCAAAAATGGCCCATGAGCCGCCACTTTATGACCTCTGACCTAAGGCTAAGGTCAACAGTCTGTGACAAAAGTTACAAAGCTTCTATTTGTTTTCGATTGTTCTCTGCAGCTGAAAATAGTCCCAGGTAAACACACTGTTATTACTGTTAGAGTTGTGTTAAAAATGAAAGGACAACGTGGATCAGAGTTTGAATGGAGACTGCAGCTGTGCAGCATTTCCATGTCCTCCTCGTGTGTGCACGGGTTTTCCCCCAGTTTCGTCCCACACACTAAAACATGCTTGTCAGATTAATTGATAATTAAATTGTCCCTATGGTGTGAGTGAGAGAGAGTGAAGGGTTGGTTGTCTCGTTTGTCTCTGTGTGTCCCTGTCATGGACATGTGACGTGTCCAGCGTGTCCTCTGCTTCTTGCACAGTGACTGCTGGAGAGAGACACCAGCTGTTATCCAGACAGACAAAGTGGGTAAAATGGAAATGGATGAATGGATGGAAGTTTAAATGAGTTTCTTAAAAAAATGGAGTTGTAACTTTGTTCTTTCCCCAGGTGTTTGTTAACAGTAATCCAGATGTGTAACGACTGGTTGTTCCTTCATGCAGGATGAGTTGGAGCGCCTCCGCCAGCTGTGCTACAGAAACTCTGATGTCTTCCTCCTCTGCTACAGCGTGGTCCGGCCCTGCTCTTTTCGTAACATTACCTTCAAATGGCTTCCTGATATTCGCCAGCATTGTCCCAACGCGCCCCTGCTCCTGGTCGGCACACAGCTGGACCTGAGAGAAGATGTGCAGGTGCTGATCCACCTGGCGCAGAGTCAGCAGCGGCCCGTGAGCACGGAGGAGGGCCGGCAGCTGGCCCTGGAGCTTGGGGCAGTGGGCTTTGCAGAGTGCTCGGCCCTGACGCAGAAGAACCTGAAGGACACTTTTGATTCAGCCATCCTGGCCAGCTTCCAGCAGGTGGACAGCAAAGATGTCCAGCTGCAGAGTCTGGCGGTGAGGAAAAAGACTCCTGAGAAGATCATGAGCCTCTCAGAGACCTGGTGGAGAAAGTTCAACTGTCTGACGGGAGAAGAAAGCTGTGAATTCAAATAAAGGTCTCCTTCTGACCGCCCAAAGACACAACGAGCTTCAGAGATGTCATATCTTCCACTTGAACTTGACTGATTTATGTTTTCTTATTTTGCTCTTACCTAAACTGTTTATTTATAAGTCATGTATTTATGGTGATCATGTAAATCAGAAGCTTGGATTAAAGTTCAGCGTGTGATTATTTCTTGTTAGGTATAGTGTCAGAAGAATGTTTGATTCTGCTGTAATGTCCAGATCAGGCTCAGCTCTGAGCCTCCTCTAATGGGTCAGACAGGACCACCTGGGCCGGATTAGACCAGCATATGGAGGCTGACTTCCTCACCGCTCAGGGCTCAAACGGCCAAGACAAGCTGCTCCAGTTTGAAGGCTTTACTTCACTTTGGGCAGCCTGTGGCAGAAACAAATATTGATAACTTGAAATAGATATACCAACAAACTTTATTAGTTTTAATGTACGTCACAAGGTACAGAAGTTTCATTTGTTATTTTGAACAATCTTTAAAATATAATCTTTACCCAAATCTTACTCTGTACTCATCTGGGTCATAAATTATTTTGGTAAATTGCAAGTTTATGACTTTATTGAAATTTACCACTACTTTATAGCTAAAAGTAAAAAAGCAGCAGAACATAAGCTAAATGCTAAATGCAGCAAAACATGCTAAATCTAGTAAAAGAGTAGCTAAAATAAGCAATGCTTATCCTAAATCTAAAAATATTAGAAGAAGGTAAAACTAGCTAAACAGACAATAAAAAAAAAGTAAAAAAGAAGCTAAAAACAACATACACTAAAATAAGTAAAGCGAGGTAAAATCACCAAATTAGCAACCAAAGGCAGCAAAATCTATGCAAAGACTAAAATGTGGAAAACAGATGTTACTTTTATTAAAGCAGATGGTAAACCTGCCGTAAGTATAGCAGCTAAATGTAGCAAAAGACATAGTGAAGTCAAATACAGTAAACAGTAGATACAATTAACAGAACATACTAAAACTAAAATAACTCAAATTAGCCAAACTAACTAAAAGCCTAAAGAAGCTGAATAGGAGCTAGAAGCTAGCAGAAAAAGATAAAACCTGAATAAGAATGTTGAAGCAGATTTTAAAGAGAACAATGATTGGGAAAAGTTTCAGCATAGTTTCACATTTTATTTTGAACAAAGGTAAATATTTTGAAAAGTAAATAAAGAACAACTAAAAGTCATAACGGCAGCACGGTGTGCAGCTGGTAGAGCTGCTGCCTCTCAGCGAGCAGGTCCCTGGTTCAAATCCTGGTCCGGGGGTCTTTCTGGGTGGAGTTTGCATGTTCTCTCCGTGCTGCGTGGGTTTTCTCCAGGTACTCCAGTTTCCTCCCACAGACCAACAACATGCATGTTAGGCTGATTGGTAACTCTAAATTGTCCCTAGGTGAGAGAGAGAGAGAGAGAGAGAGAGAGAGTGACTGGTTGTTTGTCTCGTTTGTCTCCATGTGTCCCTGTGATGGACTGGAGACCTGTCCAGATTGTCCCCCTTCTCCCACAGAGTGACTCCTGGGGATCGGCTCCAGCTTTCCATCACAAAAATAGACTTAGATAAAGAAAATAAATGGAACAATGAACTGTTCTTTCACATGAGGGCAGCACCAAAATGTAGCGTTTGTGAAGTAAAAGTCATTTAAAATTATTTCAGTGCTTTTTAATTTTAATCATAACAGAGCAAGAAATGTTAATATAACAACTTGACCTATACTTCATATTTCCGAATGAAGCTGTAAACTAGCTTACCTGTGTTCATTCAGGTCATCTGGACAGTTTCTTTTGTTGCTGAGACGTTTCGTCCTTCATCTGAAGGACTTGTTCAGTTTGAGGAGCCACCAAAGAAACTGATTCCCACAAACAGCTCACCCCCAGAGTAGGAAAAAAACAGTTTGCTGTTGATAAGATGGCCCCTGGGGCCCACCCTCTCCCCTGTCAACTCCTCTAAGGCAGACCATGCCAAAGTGGTTCAAAACACCAAAGTTCATGCTCAATAATCCAGGTATGAATCAGTGGCAGCTGGTGATCCGCTTCTTCCATTTTGGGTCACGGGGGTCACAGGTTCCCATGTCCATCAACTACTGTGTGAGGGGCGGGGGACACCCTGGACAGGTCTCCAGTCTATCACAGGGACACATAGAGACAAACAACCATTCTCTCTCACCTAGGGACAATTTAGAGTTACCAATCAGCCTAACATGCATGTTTTGGTCTGTGAGAGGAAACTGGAGTACCCGGTAAGGACCCACGCATGCACGGAGAGAACATGCAAACTCGACCCAGAAAAGACCCCTGGACTGGGATTTGAACCAGGGACTTGCTCGCTGAAAGGCAGCAGCTTTGACAGTTGTGCCACCGTGCTGTCACAATATTTATAAATTATTATCAAATTTTAAACAACAGAAGTCTGTTGGAGTCAGTCTCCCCACCATCACAGACATCTACACCTCCAGATGCAGGAAGAGGGCCACCTGCATCATGAAGGACCACACTCACCCAGCACACACACTTTTTGCCCCGCTCCCCTCTGGAAGGAGGTTGAGGAGCATTAAGTGTAGAACCACTAGACTGAGGAACAGCTTCTACCCTGAAACTGCTAGACTTGTGAATCTCTAACCAGAATAATCACTGTGGAAAAAAAATCACATCAGGCTGCTGATCTGTTTCATGTTGCTGCTGATCTGTTTCCTGTTGCTGCTGATCTGTTTCATGTTGCCGTGTTCATTCATACTCATCTGCTCATGCAGACTCATGTTCGTGCTGCTGTTCTGCATATTGTTTTTATGCTATTAGTGCTTAGCAAATTTTTAGTTAACATTTTTCTTAGTTCATATCTTACATTTTATTTTTGGATGTAACTGGAACCCTGCAATTTCACAGGTGGTACATGTGGCAGAACACAATTTTGTAACCACGTGTACCACATGTGCTGCCAATGACAAATAAAGAAACTCTGACTCTAACATGCGGCTCTTTCAAGCTTTGACCAAAACTGAAATAAAATTTATTTTGAAAATATATGAATACTAGACTAGTAACATAAGGAGTAAAACATACTCACTTCCACTTTATGCTTTATTTCTTCAAAGTAGGATACGTCATTTTTCTACAATAAAAAAAAATCACTTAAGAATGCAGTTTATTGTTTTAGTTTTTAGAAACTGGGCAAAAACTATATATTTTTTCCTTCTTTACAAGAATCTCGTCTTTTGTTTTGGCTTAGAGTGTAAAATATCAATAAATGTTAAAAATCATTAGATATTTTTAGTTTTATAAAATCACCTCGACTGTTCAGAAAAGTGCCCTCCAACCAACTTAAAGTGGTCTGTGGGCCACCAGTTGAGAATCCCAGTTGTAGCAGTTATTGTGGCTCCGGACACCTTTAATTTAGTGAACAAAGGGGCAGAAATGGCTCTTTTGATCGAAAAGAATACAGACCCCTGATCATTACAACAGTAATATAAGTTCATAACATTAATAGAATCAAGCTCATTTTCTGAGTATTCTTAAATATTCCCTTAATAATTTAAGGTCCCTCTTGCAAATGAGTTCCTGTGGCTCAATGAGGCTAGCCTGTATAAATAAAGGTTGAATGAATGAAAAATTCCTAATATCAAAGGTCCTAATATTGCACCTTAGCACATGTCATTTCATCATTTCACTATTTCTTTGTAACTTAAAGGCTTGACTCAATGTTAACAGGAGCAGCTAGTTACTTGCAAGAGGCTTATTTTCATTCTGCAGATCAATACAAATACAAGCGTTCAGAACACTATCAGTGACATTTACTATATAAAAGTATTAATGTTTGATAATTATTTTTCTATAGGCACATTCAAATAAATGTAGCAATCACAGAGTCCAATACAATAACCTGGAGGCTAGCGCTAGCGTGCTAACTCCAGAAACAAACAAATAAAAAACAAACTCGCCAGTTCCAACTTTTAGAATACACACAGTCAGCTGATCTTTTTCTCACAAACACAGACTTCTAAAAGTGGAGAGGCATCCATCCATCCATCCATCCATCCATCCATCCATCCATCCATCCATCCATCCATCCATCCATCCATCCATTATCTTTACCCGTTTATTCCATTTTGGGTCACGGGGGTCGCCGGTGCCCATGTCCAGCAATCACTGTGCGAGGGGCGGGGGACACCCTGGGGACACCCTGGACGGGTCGCAAGTCCATCACAGGGCCACATAGAGACAAACGAGACAAACAACCATTCACTCTCTCACTCACACCTAGGGACAATTTAGAGTTACCAATCAGCCTAACATGCATGTTTTTGGTCTGTGGGAAGAAACCGGAGTACCCGGAGAAAACCCACGCATGCACGGAGAGAACATGCAAACTCCACCCAGAAAGGTGGAGAGGCATATCAGTCAGAAATTACAAATAGGCATTAGATAAAGGGTTTTCAGTGGCTTAAAGTCTACCTGCAGCCAGCCTGGTTGAGGGTGTCACTGCATGGACAAAATAAAAATTGTCCGGACCGGAAGTATGATCAATCGGTAACGTTCGCGTTTTTCTGTGCCCCCGGGTACAGATATCGGCACCAAGAATCTTCCTATCTCTTTTAAAGAAGAGGCGCTATGGCGCATGTCCAATTTTTAACGATAGTTTACGAGCAAAGATTCTTGCGCAATATGGGGCTGGAAATATGTCACCAATCAGCAGTGGTGGAGAAAGTACTCAAACACTGTACTTAAGTAAAAGTACAAATAAACAGACAAAAATGTACTCTAGTAAAAGTATAAGTACCACATTAACATTTTTACTTAAGTAAAAGTAAATAAATACTTGCTTTTAAAATACTTAAAGTATTAAAAGTAAAAGTACTTGCTGAATGTATTACCTAATGTAATGGTCTACATATCATTAAGTGTGCGTACCGTATGTATATTTTCTGTAATACATTAACAGTGTTGTTCCATTTTAATGAACGATGCTGCAGATAATACATGTTTTTATTGTGTTTACTCTGTGACACAGTTC